AGGAACCTACCTTTGCTACGTACGGTCCGACCAGGTGGAGCAGAGATGCGTTGTGGTGGTGTGGAACAGCAGAAGAGGAAGAGCCTGCCTTTCCTCCTCAGTCCTTCTAACCTCGCCTGTGAGGCACTGCCATTTTCCAGTGTCCTCCGGCCACTTTTGAAGGCACCATTGACTCCTTCCTCTCCGTCAACTATCTGTGCCCTAGCCCAGAGGATGCCCTCCTAAGGTCACAGATGCTCTGCTCTTAGTTTGATGTTCAATCTCTGACTCATCAATCTGTCCATCCATCCATCCATCCATCCATCCATCCATCTTTCTATCTTTCCATGAGTCCATCCATCCATCCATCCATCCATCCATCCATCCATCCTTCCTTCTATCCTTCCATGAATCCATCCATCCATCTTTCTCTCCTTCCATGAACCCATCCATCCTTCTATCTTTCCATCCTTCTGTTCTTCCATGGACCCATTTATCTATCCATCTGTGCATCCTTCCATCCATGCCCCCGTCCATCCTCCGTACACTGGACACCTTTCCAGTGTTTGCCGTATCCACTCTCATGTCCCTAAGGATGGGAACAGTGTCTGGCATGACTGTCACCATAAATGCCCTTTGTCTGACTGGCTTTTTTTATGAAAAAAAAGTAAAACAAAACTTCATAACAACATATTAGGAGAATAACAATAGCTAATACATTGTTATCTTTAAATTAGTTACTCGGAGTACCAGATATGGGCATTAAAATTCTCCAAATAGTACGAGCACAAATCTTTTTTCTCAGTGAGCTAATTGCGTAACTATCTTGTATTTTTTTCTCTTTCTCCACTGTAGCTCCTTCCTTTTGAACAATTTCTTCCCATTTCACAATACCTATTATACATTTTGATCCTTATTTATTCTTTCAGTTCCTTGTACCAAGGAGAAAATATAGTGTTTACACTTGTGAGTGTGATTTATCTCACTCATGAGTAAGGTCTCAAGTTCATCCATTTACCTATAAAAGTCTGAAATTTATCCTGCTCTCCAGCTTAGTATTCAATTGTATAAAAAGACCACATCTTTTTTATTCATTCCTTGGGCATTTAGGTTGTTTCCAAGATTTAGCTATTACAAATTTTGCTATAAACATGGGTACACATATATAGCTGTAATGTGATGTATTTAATTCTTCTAGGAAGATATTGGTTGAATGGGAACCCTAATCCTCGCTTTCTGAGGACTCTCCAGACTGATTTCCATAGTGGTCACACAGTCTGCACTCCTACCAACAGTGGAGAAGGGCTCCTTTTTCCCCACAGCCCCTCCACACTTGTAATTGCTTGATTTCTTGATGATAATCATTCTTTCTAGAATAAGATAAAATGTCAGTATTGTTTCAAATGACCAGTGATGTTGACCATTTTTTCGTATATTTATTTGCTGCTTGTATTTCTTCATCTGACAAGTGTGTGTTCATCTCAGATGCCCAGTTTGGACTGGGTCTTTGAATTAGGGGTGGTCTGATTTTTCAATTCTTTATATGTTCTAGATATAAGTCCTTTGTCTGAGAAACAGCTGGCTAAAATTTTTCCCACACTGTGGGTTGTTTTTTCACTCTGTTGGTGATTTCTTTTGTTGTGAAAAATTCTTTTTAATAAGATGAGTTCTCAGTTGTTGATTCTTTGAAGTATTTCCTGTGTGATCTGGGTGTTATTCATGAACTCTCTGCCTACATCTTCATCTCCAACATTTCTACCTACTCTATCTTCCAGTAGATTTAGTGTTTATGCTTTAATATTTAGACTTTTAATCCATTTCACTTTAGTTTAGTGCATGGTCATAGGCTTGGATCTAGTTTTAGACTTTAGCATGTAGAAAGCCAGTTTTTCCAACACCGTTTGCTAAAGAGGCTCCTTCTTCCAGTAAACATGTTTGGCCCCTTTGTCAAAGAGAAGGTGGCTGAGTGTGTTTGGAATGGTGTCTGCATCTTCTAATCTGTTCCACTCACCCTCAGGTCTGGGTTTTTGTTTTGTTTGTTTGTTTGTTTTGCCAGTACCATGTTGATTCTATCATAGTAGTGATAGTATAATTTCAAGTCAGGTATTGTGATCACCTGGCTTGCCTTTGTTGCCCAGAACTGCTGTTGCTATTGTAGTTCTCTTCTGTTTCCAGATGAATTTTGGAATGTTTTCTCTAGCTCTATGAGGTGTGCTAACGATGTCTTGATCGGGATTGCCTTAAATCTGTATAACGATTTGGGGTATGTGGCTAGTGGCTGCTTATGAATGAGTGCTGGAAACGGGCGATATGGAGGGAAGTGCAGGCACCGGTCCAGCAGAGGACCCAGGTCGCCTGCGAGCCTCCTCAAACAGGTGCTCATGCTCCACGAGTCCCCTCCTGGCCAGGCCCCCCGCCCGCCTCCTGGTCAGGTCCCCTTGCAGCCTGACTCTGACGGCCGGGGTGAAGGAAGAGTCTGTGCAGTCCGGTCACTGGCTGGTGCCAGTTGGTGTCTGATGTTTAAGGAAGTTTGACCTGTGCAAGTGATCTGTAGTGCCTCTTGCTCCCGAGAGCACATGCCAAGAGTTTAGGTGTCTCTCACCTTCCCTCCCCAGCAATGCAGTAGACTACACCAGGGACACTGACCCTCACGGCACAGGAGGAAGACCCCTCCCCTCTGTCTCCCCTTCCATCCTCCCATCCTGCAGGGTGAGGCAGCTCTGCTGTGGGGAGCTGCGGTCACTCAAATAAAGCGTGTTAGAAAGTGGTTATTAGGCTGCCGCAAGGGCTCTGCAGATTTTCTAAGCTCGGTTTGGTGAACAGAGTCAAGGATCAAACTGATGGCTAGATTCTGCCTGGCAGGGAATCGTGCCCGACTGTCTTGCTCTAAGTTCCTTTCGTTTTATTTTTGTGCTCAGTGGATTTCTTTGTGACATGTTAGATTTAAAGCAGCATTATTTTTAGAATTTATACTGCGAACACTGTGCTGGCAGGACATGAAACCGCCTTGGAAAAACTCACATTGGAATCTTATGTTGCTGTCTAATTAGCTGTGAGCTCTTGGGGAAATTGATTAATCTCTCAACTCGTCAGTTTCTTTATCAAGTGAAGAACAAACCTCGCGGTACAGTGCACAAAGCCAGTGTGCTAACACGTGTATAACAGTGACTGTGAATTTTTGCAAACACCTTGTATACGTAAAGATTCATATACACGGATATTTATTTCAGCATTTTTATGAATAAAAGAAGTTAGAATTGGCCTATGAGTTAAATGCAGGCACTCAAAGTCGTAGTTCAGAAGATGTTTAATACTACAAAGGAAACATATTATATGAAAAAGCAAATGTTTAGTATAACCCCAATTTGTAAAAAGCTCACAGGTGTGTTAGTACCCACACGTGACAATGTGCCCATGGTAACTGTGGCTATGTGTGGCTTCTGGATGTAGATGATTTTAATTCTCTTTACTGCTTCTATCTTTTAAAATTTCCAGAGCAACCACTATTTTAAAAGGGTGGTCTTTATGTATCTACTCAGGATGTGAGAGGCTGGGGCATCGCCCAGTGGTGGAGCCCTTGTCTGTGTGACCCCCGCATCTGAAGAGCAGTGGTAGAAATCTCAATTTGAAACACGGCATCTAGGTGTACATATGCACTCTGACTGTTCTCATTAAGTGTTAGCTCACCTCCCTTTCCCCTTCCTGTGACTCTTTCTCCTCCCCTGCTCCCACAGACACTTTCCTTTCTCCTCTCTCCTTGTCTTCCAAGTTAGCCTCGCCCCGGCCCTGTGGGCACTGCTTCGCTGCAAACTGCTGACCTTAACCTCAGCTGATCCAAACCAAGCAAGAAGGGAGGGAGTTTCTTGTGTTTTCCCAACTCTCAAGCACCTCAGCACGCATTGTGGACTCACCGCGCTGTGGGGATGCCAGGCTTGCCCCGGGAGCCTGAGCCTCGATTCCCGATGCCTGCTGGGGGCAGGTGGGGCAGGTCTTCCTCCTCATCCCTAGTATCAGACGCCCGCACTACTCCAAAATAGCTTTGTCAAACAAAGCATGAACACTTGGAGTTTCCTGACATTTTCATAACTACGAGCACATGATTTGCAGCTCATATTGAATAACGTAAGAAATCTGCCAAGAAAGCCCCAATACTATTTCCAGCACTGCTTCCTAACCAGTTACAGCTGCCCGCGCCACACTGCACCGGCTCCATGGGCCCCGCATCCCTTGGTCTTCTTGCTGGCAAAGCGGGTCGTGAGTTACTGCGGTCGCACTAATGGGGGAGCCACTCTCCTGAAAGGCATTTGAGATGAGTAAAGCTGAGGGCTTATGTTCTAATGAAAATTTTGTCAATATTTAAGTCAAACATGTGAACACTAAGTGATTTTGCACTTGCTTGTTCCAAGGAGGTCCTGGGCTTTGCAGATGGGAGCAGAGTAGGTCATCAAGCTGAGAGCTTCCCAGCAACTCGAGGGACAACGCGGGGTGCTTGCTCCACCCAGCACTTCCTGGAGAGTAATTGCCTGGGAGATGTGTTTTTTGTGTTGTCCGAAAGCGGTGGAATCTGTGGGAGTGCCTCGCTCTCACTGGAGGAGCAAGTGTCACCTCTCTCCAAAGATGTTTGTCTTTTCACAAACCTGTGCTTTTTCATCCTAAAAACATCTCAACTGGAAGTGACTACAAAGCCAGGGGTGAGAGGAGATGGTGGTTAGTGAGGCTTAGAGTAATTCCCTCCTGGAGTCAGATGCGGTTCCCTGCAGCCAGCCCTGCCTAACCGCAGTCCACACCCCAGGGACCCCATAGCCTTTTCATTCCTGGTTAGAGAAATCAGGCTCGGGGTGGGGCAGGGAGCCCTTACCCTGCCAGCCATGAGGGGAGGAGCCGAGGCTGCAGGCTCCAGGGGGCTGTAAGTACACCTAGGAACTGGGGAGAACCTGCCTCTCCCACCTTGGGGCTTGCCTCAGGGGGATGGTGCTGGGGTCTGGTGGAGGTGGGGGCAGCCCTGATTGGGGAGCACGGGGTACAGTATGTAAACATTCACTGGTGCCCTCTATGGACCAGGTGTAGGCACCAGCTCTGCCAGGAGGGAACTGGGGAGGGACCAGGACTGCAGAGGAAGACCAGAGCAGCTGCGGCTTTCAGGAACAGTCCGCCTGCTGGGGAACAGTCTTCTCGACACACATGGCACCGTGGCAGAACGAAGCAAAGGCAGGATGCTTCTCAGGGACCAACACGGGCCACAACCCCCTCAGCCTAAAGGAGGAGAAATTTGTTTTGGCTCATGGGTTCAGGGGTTCCCATCCCTGGTTGACTGACTCCAAAGCAAAACCATGATGGCGGAAGGGCTTTGCTCACCAGGAAGCAGAGCACAGGAAGAGCATCGGCAAGAGATGTACCCTCCAAAGGCGGGACCCAGGGGCCCACGCCTGGCTGTGAACCCCCGTTCGGTCCTCTGACGGGTGTGATGCCCTTGTGACCCACTACTGCTGCAGGAACCTGTCAGTCCAGCCAAGTTTCCAGGAAGGCACCTCCATGGTGACAACGAACTAAACCTGGAAGGATGACAGGGCGTGAACCAGGCATGGACACAGGAGAATTGGTCTCCTGGAAGCAAAATAGCCAAGGGACGAATGTCTGCAACAGGATGCTGTGATCAGCAGTGCCAAGCTGTTCCTCACAGCCAGAGCATGGAGGCCCCAGAGGCAATGGCAGGCGGTGGAGCCTCAGACCTGGCCGGGGCAGTCACTCTGAGACCCCTGGTCCCCATCACCAGCAGTCTGTGTGTGTGAAGCATCAGAGCACCGTCAGAAGGGGTGACCTGCTGTACCTACTAGACAGCGCTTCTGGTACAGCCAGAAGATCACCCTCCAGGGCTAAGAAAGGAGGTGGGGAGACCAGTTAAGAGGCCGTCTGACCACCATCTTAGTGGGCACGATGGACACTGAAGCCAGTGCCCATAAATAACATTAGATGTGGACAGAATATTAGACCCGAGAAGAACGTGTCATGTAGTGCGAATTCCACACTGTGGAAATGGAGTCACGGGGGACGGTCAGGGTAGGTGACCTCACCGAGGTGGTATGGAAACAACCTTGTCTGAGGCCAAGATGAGCGGGAGGCCATGGTCTTGTGATCCGCAGCCCGGTGACTTTTCCGACAGCGGTGCCAAGCCGAGCCCCAGCATCCCGCTGCAGTTAGTTAGGTAATGCCTGAGGAGGACTTGAGGCTGACTTGGCCAGCGTTCCCTGTCAGTGTCTCGGAAGTGAGAACAGCCTTGCTGGCCGCAGGGACACTGGATTGGGCCAGGCTGCCTGGGAGGGATCTTTCCTGGCTGTCACCTCCGGAGCCTCCCTGCCCTCCGCCTCCCTCTTCTCCGCTGAAATCTGTCTCCAGCTCCTGCCTGCCGAGTTCCCACTCCTCTGCTGAGTTCGCAAGGTAAAACACAAGCTCGTTTCCTCCACTGGTCTACCAATGCCTGTGTCAGTCACGCCCCTGGACAATTCTGGGGACAAGTGACCCTGCAATAATCAAACTGGCTCCAGCTGGCCTTCCCTCGAAGTACGTGGAACCTTTTCTGTGGTGGTAGTGTTTGTGAGTACTGCTTTGGCTGGCTCTTTTTCGGTAAATCACATGGAAACACATTTTCATGTTGTAATCGGATTTATATATTCTTTATAGTGGAAATGGCAGAAAATTTGGAACAAGTTTTGGGTAAGAGACTTAATCCCCGAACCCCAGTTTCTTCTGTAAAATGTAGATTATACCGCTTACCTGGAGGGGTTCCTGGCACAGAATAGCTGTACAGTACCCCCACACACACCTTTCTCTGTCTTTCTCAGTTGTACCTGGTTTGGGGTGATGTATTCTGGTAAACATCTAGGTGTGACTACAACTGCTACCCAAAGCTGAGAGTAAAAGTTATTGTTTTTCACATCTACTTGAAGTCCTAGAACATCACTGAGCCCAGAATGAAGTGTGGAGAACTCAGAAGGTTAGGTAGGTGCTTGGGAGAAGAGGAGAAGAGGAAAGCGTTTAACTTAAACCCCAGGTTAGCTAAAAGCCTCTGGCTTCCCCACGTCACACACTCATGTAAGTCACAAGCACTGATTGGGCACCAGCCTCGGGGACACTGACTCCCACCTTCAGGGGCCTTGGGCAGCCCCCAGATGGTGAGCAGGAGAAGCGGAAGGTGGGCAGGAGGCCTCCCTCCCGCTGGGACAGTCTTGTGGTCAGCTCAGGGGTTGGCATCCAGGCCAGGGCAGAGGGGGCAGCTCCAAATCCAAGTGATCTGCGGGCACTGACTGAGTTTTTCAGGGTGAAACCTTGCCGTGAAATAGCTGCGTGAGCAGCTGGGTCACTGCAGTGCAAAGCAGAGCAAGGGACTGTAAATTCCTGGTCCAGATGACCTTGGACTCGCTGTTCGCTGCCACCAGACGTCAAAGAGCAGGAGGGATTTGGTGCACTCATGAGGCATCATTTCTTCTCAGGAAGCAGATACCTGAGATTGGGGTGCGGGGGACACAGTGAGGGCAAACCAAGGCTGCAGTCCCTGTAAGGCTTTGTAAACAGCAACAGCTAAATATGCGCATGTTCTTACAGGATGCACCAGCCACATTAGGGACATTAGGTGAAGGCGTGGGGGAAAGGACCTGAAGCCAGAGAGGAGTTGGGGACAGGAGACGTCCTGTGAGGACACTGTAGGGATTCGACTTTTCCCCCACCAATAAGGGGTGCCTTTGAGGGGGAGGACGCAAACTTGTTATGTCCCAGCAGACTCCTTCCGCAGCTGTCCTGGGCCCAGGCCGGGATGAGGGAAGGTGGCTGAGGGCAGGGGACCCGCTGCGAGGCTGCAGGGTAGATGACTGCAGCAGGAACAGCAGCCTGAGCCCGAAGACAGCAAGCAAGGCTTGGCAGTGGACTTTGAAGAGGGAGGTGACGGGCTGATGGTTAGGGTGTCGGTCTGAAGAAAAGTAGCATCCAAGAGAATTCAGATGTTTTGGTTGTGAGCGAGTGGGGGGGGGGGGTTGTTACTTACGAGGATGGGGAAGACTCCAGGACTGTCTTTGGAAATAAAGGTTTAATTTCAGGCGCTTTGAACCCGAAGCCCTCTCTGATGCCCAGGTGGAGGCGCAGAGACCAAGAGTAGTTTCAGCCACAGGTAATGATTTTGGGAGTCGTGAGCACCAAGGTGGTCATTTACATCCAGGAACGGGGAGGTGGGCGGGAGGAGGGACAGGAGGGACCCTGGTCATGGACCCACAGGCTCTGGCTGAGGGAAATCTTAACTAGGCACAGAAACCAAAGGGGTGAGGACAGAGCAGTAAGGGACAAAGCAGAGGCAACAGGCTGTCTCAGGAAGGGGACTGCTGGCGCCTGGATGTTCAGGACCACACCAGTGACTTGAGGTCACTGAGGAGCTCAGCCAGAGGAGCGGCAGGTCCTGGGCAAACGAGCCAGGTGGCATTGAGGTCCCCTGTGAGCGCACTGCTGTGAAGGCAGGGCCACCAGGCAGGGGACAAGGGAAGAGCCAGGGCACAGAGGGCCCGTAACTGTAACCAAGACCAAAACACAGGGCGGAAGGGGTGGTGCGTTCTCACCTCTACGACTGGAAGACTGGGTTTCCTGTCGGTTGGCTCTGACCTCATGAGCCAGGCTCACTTTTGTCCCTAACCTGTCCCTAGGGTTCATGCCCATGTCTGACTTAAGCATAACCAAACGTCATACAATGGGAAGGAGCTGCAAGGTACAAATTATACATGAACAGTGAAGAAAGAGCTTCCGGCTAAAAATCTAAGGCAAATACAAAGCAGCTGAGGGGGAGACGTTTGGTCTGACCTCTGCCCTGACCTGAGTCCACGCAGTTCCTGGGGTCCCTGAAGCCCTAGTCATTCTGCCACACCACTCTCTGTCCAACGTAGCGAGGACCAAGGTTTGCACCCTGAGTGACCATGAGCGGGTGAGAGGCCCCGCACAGCCCTGGCCCCTCTGCCCTGTGCTGCCAGCCATCCCAACTTCCCTGCCCCTGGACCCAGCAGGAAATTCTTCCCTGGGCCTCAGAGTTTACTGCCTGTGTCCCTTGAAGCAGAGCCCGATCTCTTGGATGCTGGCATCCTGTCCGAGGTCCAGCTCCCCCGCACCCCCCACCCCTGTCACCATGGTCGTGGAATCGCACTCCCTTAAGCCAGCAGCTGTCCCTGAAGGAAGCCTTCCTCATCGTCACCAGCAGATGCATCCTTGACTTCGAAGCCCTGGAGCCCTGTGGGCTAAAAGGAGGAAGGCAGGAAAAGAGGGGAGGAAAAAGGCGGGAACTGGAGTCGAGCTCCCCCCCACCTCCCACTGTGTGTCTGGCCTCCCCGTCCTCTGTGCTGTACATGGCTGCGGGTTTCGTTCTTCTGTGGCCACCCCTGCATCCACAGGAACCACTAGGCCGCATAGCTGTCCCCAGCGCCCTTGTCCAGCAGGTGCTGCATGTCCAAACCCCACGACAGGGCAGCGTCATTAACCGGCCCCAGCGTTAATGAAAATTTTGACTTCCCACTTTTTAGAATGTGTGAGACTATGCCATGCGGCCCTTCTGCCCCGCCCTGGGGTGCTGCGTGTTGGGGACTTGGTGTTGGGGAGGTGGCCCGGGGTCTGCAGAGCCACCGGGCAGGGAGACAGAGCTGAGATGAAACAGAAAACAGAATCAGAGGTTGGGTTTCACTCACTCTCAGTACTGAACTGAAATGAAAACACTCTCCAGCAGCCTCTGAGTTCTGTTTGTCAGTCTTTCCACCACACTCCTCTGTTTTCAATCCATTGCCAAAGGAATAAAAGGAAAACAGAAGAAAAATCAAAGCAATCCTAATAACGTTTGTGGTAGGAATCTGCTGGATTGGTCTGTGTGAATTTCATGTTATTCCAGTCCCATTCTTCTCGAAGGGCAAGTTTCGGGGGCTGTGTGAGTGCCTGCTGTTTGCACAACTGCCAAGCAGGGCCTGAGGCTTCTCATGAGAACTCAGGGACTCTAAACTTGGGGGTCCAGCTGTCACCTGTGCGTGTCCAGCTACAGCCCAGCCTTGGGACAAAGCGGGCACTTTTTTGCCGGGCGAGTCAGGCAGCCAAGGTGTTCATGGAAGGTAGGGGTCACCCTCCACAGAAACCTCGGGAAACTGGCCAGGCCAAAGCCACGGGGTCTGTCTTTATCACCACTTATCCTTAACGTAAATACGATGCCGATGCTCGTGCAATCCTCCTCCAAATGCATTCTTAAATAGGAATAAAATATACCACACGCACGATTTCCCTTCAGATCACACCAGTGTGGTGCGTGCCTGGGTGACCCTGCCCTGTTCCTGGGAGCAGAAACCCTCAGCCGCCCCCAGGTTCTGCTGTGCCGGAGTGGAGCCAGTGCCTTCTCAGTGCCCCACTGGACACAGGGAACCTTTATGTACGGCTCTGGAAGCTATGATAGGATATTATTCATATGTTTGTTGTAATGGTTCATGGCTGGGTAGAGGGGAATCCTCAAAATTTGATTTAATTTTGTGAAGCAAAAAAGTGGGGTGAGACAGAGCAGGGGTCTCCTTCACAAAGGGAATAAACATGGGCAGTTGGAGGTGGGGGGCCGTTGTGGGAGCCACGCGGTATTTGACACGGCCACCTCAGATTTCTGGGGCTCACAAAGGCATTCCAGCCTAGACAAAGGGATGTCAGGATTGACCGCATGCTTGGCCAGGAGATGGCACCTCCCTGCAAGTCATGGCCCTCTGGGCTGACAGCCCTTGATCACCCTGCTTTGAAAATTGACCCCAGGGGTCAAGTATGCTAACAGGTGACCCGCTTTGATGCCCACTGCAGCATGGTCTGTCCACAGCAGCGTGTGCCCTGCCTCTGGGTTGTGTATTTCCTGGGACCGCCTGGCCAGGCAGCCTGGGACTAAGGCTTCTAGAGGTGAGCCTGACAGCCCCCTTTGGGACGCTTCCCTGCCCACCCCTCAATCCAGCTTGCCGCACATCTGATAAGAGTTAACGACCTCCCTGCCTCCTGGCTGGCATTAAACTGGGGTTCGTCCAGGCTCTGAGTCCTCTTGGGGACAGGAGGACAGGTTCTGGGCTAGGTGGTTACTTCTGAGACCACATCTGGTTATAATCTGCTGGTATGCTCTCCGTCCTCTGATCTTCTATCTCTAGTGAAATAACTGCATCCTTTACCTAGGCCCTGAGTTCTGTCATGCATCCCCTTTAAAAATTAGTCCAATAGCCACATAATTGCTGTATGTGTTGTGTTGTATTCCTGTGGTATTTCAATACCATATACAACTTGTAACACTCAAATCAGAGCAGTCAGCAGATACATTGTCCTGAACAGTTAGCGTTTCTTTGTGTGGGGATATTCAAAATCCTCCCTTCCAGGTCATTTGAATTACAAGGTAAATTATTGTTAATTACAGTCAC